CAAATAGGCATTTATCTTTCTAACATAACCGGAAAGGCAGCTGCTGGCTCTAGTTCAGCAGCTCAGTGACGTCGAGGCCAGCTTCTCTACAATTCTCTTGAACTTCCCCCACAGCTGCCCCGGGGCTGCCCCAGGTCCAAGCTCATGTGTGCATTCCAGGCAGGAACAAAGGAGGCACCAGTTGCATCTGTTTCTTTCACCAGGAAAGGCAAAATCCTTCACAGTTGATTCAGAATATACAGATGGGACCCAGCTAGCAACATTTTTAAAAGCTCACCTGGGAATTTACACAGCCAGAGCTGAGAACTACTGCCTATATCAATCATTGTCCATTTCTTATGGCTGGGCACATTAATGCCCTGACCAAGGAGTTCTGCAAGGAATATGGGACAGATTTAGAGAGAACAACTAACAGGATTTTTTTTTCCTTTTTGTCTTTTTTTACTGACCGGTAACGGGATTGCAACCCTCGGTGTTGCGCCCGCACCGCGCTCAGCCAGTGAGCGGGAACCGGTCTCCACATGGGATCCGAACCCTCGGCGGGAGCGCTGCCGCACTCCCAAGCGGTGCACTCTCCAGTGCGCCACTGGGCCGGCCCACAACTAACAGGATTTACCACAGCTTCCTCCTCAGGAGGGCATTGTCCTTGTGGTAGCAAGGATGGCTGTTCCCAGCTCAGGGCTATATCCCACCAATTTAGCAACCCCAGTGTAAAAGAGACCTCTTTCCAAAGAGCTCCAGCAAACATGCTGGGGAAGATGTCCATTGGCTGAGCTCGGGTCACACACCCATCCCAGAACCAAACAGTGGGCAGAGAGCACAGTCATCCTATTGGCTAGGTCAGGTCATGGTCCACCCTTAGGGCTTGGGGGAAGTCAGTCCCATCCACATGGACTGAGAGTAGAGAGAGGGTTTCCCTAGAAGAAATTTAGGACATGGAACCCAAAATAAAGGAAATGGATGTTAGGCAGGCAAAAGTAACAGACATCTGTGCACACCCTTGTCAAATTGACCTTTGCCTCCCCCCTCCCACCCAGAGTTTCCTGGTCATAGGACAAGACCCCAGCCAGGTCCTGGTGTTGAGGACAGGACCTTCACCAGGGGAAGTCAAGACCTACCAGATCCAGAAGTTTTCTGGAGGTGAGGCACCTACCCTGAGTTTCCAGTGCACAGCAAATGTATCCCTAAGAACTGTCAGCTTGGCTTCCAAAACATCTCCTGAACCTTCCCAATCCTCTCTGCCTCCATCACCCTATTGTGAGTCACCATTACCCCTTGCCCAGACAATTGTAGTAGCCTCCTCTCTGGTCTCCCTGCTCCCTCCCTTTCCTTCCTGCAATCAGTTCTATGCACAGCAGCCAGAGTGGTATTTCTAAACATCAATCAGATGTTATACACCCCTGCCCCAAACCCTGCAGAGGATAGGCGACATCGTTTAGATACAAATTTAGACTTCTCATCATGGCCTATAAGGTGCTGTGTAACCTAGCCCCACCCACCTCTCCATCCACTGCCCCTCATTCACTCTGCTCCAGCCACACTGTTCTCTTCTCTGTTCCTTGAGCATTCTAAGTGTGTTGCAGCTTCAGGCCCTTTGCTTTGGTCCTCCCTGCATGAATTCTCTTCCTTTTTTTTTTTTTTTTTTTTTTAAAGTTCTATGCACAGCAGCCAGAGTGGTATTTCTAAACATCAATCAGATGTTATACACCCCTGCCCCAAACCCTGCAAAGGATAGGCGACATCGTTAGATACAAATTTAGACTTCTCATCATGGCCTATAAGGTGCTGTGTAACCTAGCCCCACCCACCTCTCCATCCACTGCCCCTCATTCACTCTGCTCCAGCCACACTGTTCTCTTCTCTGTTCCTTGAGCATTCTAAGTGTGTTGCAGCTTCAGGCCCTTTGCTTTGGTCCTCCCTGCATGAATTCTCTTCCTTTTTTTTTTTTTTTTTTTTTTGAATTTTAAATATTTGAGTGCTCTTCTTTTTGTTTGTTTGTTTGCTGAGTGCTCTTCCTTGAATGGATGGTTTAGTTGCCATCCTTCAGGTCTCTGCAGAGATGTAACCTTCCTTGACCACCACAGCTAAAATAGCCTCCACTCACTTCTAATCATTCCATTTCATTTATAGTACCCAATACAATATACACTTATCTTTGTTTATTTGTTTGCTCATTTATTTTCTGTCCACCCCTCCCCCACTAAAAGGTAAACTACAGGAAAGCAGTGAACTTGTCTGCCTTTCACAACTGTATCCCCAGTGCCTAGAAATGAATGGGTGCTCAATAAATATTTGTCTAATGAGTAAATACTATTTGGTGGCATAAGTGGGATGCAAGAATAAAGGCACAGGAAAAGATGGAGACTCCAACTTTCCCTGTTCTGAGGATCCCTGGGGGGATTATAGGAATGGGGAGAAGAGAGTCCTGGCTGCTACCCCTCAAGTTTTCTTTCTCATCCCTCCTTGTCCCCTTCCCCCAGGTGTGACCCTGGAATCCTCCAACCTCTGCATGCCAGACGTGCCCCATCTCCTGGCTTTCTTATCAGCTAGCAGGTACAGGTCAACCATCAAAGATGCTAAGGGGGAGCCTTCTCTAAGACACCCGACCCACATTGTGACTCCCACTAATCTTTCCTCAGGGATGTTTTGCCCAGAACTCTGCTCTTGCCCCCTCCCACTCTAGGGCCTGGAAACGAACACACAGGTGAGGCATGGTTCTCCAGGGGAGGAAGAGGCCAACTTGACAGTCTCCTTAGTCCAGGGGGATGGGACTTGGGGGACCAGACTACTGGGTTTGAGGAAGTATAGAGCTGGGGGTTTGAAAGAGCTGGGGGCCTGGACTTTGGGGTCCCTAAGGGAGGAGAGGAGGAGGGCCTGGATTCCTAGGTCCTAATAGAGGAGAGAATTGGGAGATGAGGGAGCTGGTGGGCCTGGACTCCTGGGTCTGAGTGAAGTGGAGCCAGAGGCCAAGCCTCAACACCTCTAGTAATCTAAGTCTCCTGGTGCCCTGAAGGGACCAAGACTGGTCTTTTGGACACTGGGACACCTCCTCACTTCTGCTGGTCCCCAGATCCTTTGCAGACTGGGAGGGTCCAACTTGACACCTCAGGGAAGACATTTTCTGTGGTGAATCAGCTCTACTTGGAGACCCACAGAGACTGGGAGATGGAGCAGATCCCCCAAGAGACAAAGCCAGAGACTGTGCAGATACATGGTCCAGGTTAGCTGGGCAGGGCCCGGGGCCCTTGAGGGATGAGGAAGCTGCTGCCACTGTTCTATGGGACCTGACTCCCTCCTCACATCCAGCCCCCAGGAACCCTGCCCCACACCGTGTCTCCTGGGTGGAAGGCCCACTCAGCCCAGAAGTGCACCATCCTGGGCCGGCTCTGGCCAGCCTAGTGGAGGAGGAGGACGACGACGAAGATGAAGAAGAAGGACCTGAGGACGTGCTCACTGTTCATGTCCGGGCTCTGGCCAGGGACCGGAGCAGCTACGTGGCCCGGCAGTACCGGGGCCTTCGAGCACGCCTCACCTCCGATTCAGGGGGTCCCCACAGGCCTGGGGACCCAGCCACGGAGCTGCTCCAGGATGTGCGACACCTCCTTACTGACCTTCAAGACTACTTGGCAAAGGACCCTGACGTCAGGGCTGTCTTTGGAAGAAGGGGATCTGGGGTCCCCCAGAAGGATGAGGATCTTGGTAATGGGAGGACTGGAAGGGAACCCCCACGCGTTCAGATGTGCCATCACTTGGCCCTGCGTATATGTTGTGTTCACATCCGACTTCTTTCTCTCCACCGGCGTACACACCCGTTTCCTTTTCCATTCACAAGCCCTCTCCTACCTATGGAAACACCCGTCACCACACGCTCCCTCTCGCACGTGTGTTCGCAGCCATACTCCCTGTCCCACATCCTAGGGGGATACCAAGGCTCCCTCTTCCACGCGTGTTCACATCCACGTCTACTCTTGTGGGTGGCCAGTAGCTACGGAGGGGTGGTGGTCTGCCAGGGTGGGTCCGTGGAGCGCGCGGCTGGGCGTGAGTCAGCTTGTGGACCCCGATCTCACCTGTCCCCCCAATCCCCTGCAGGCCCCGCGGTGGAGGCGGCCGTGTGCCGGGCGGTGCTGGCGCCCCTGAAGCCCGCCCTATGGAGGAGACTCCGCACGCTCCGTGCCCAGGAGCTGCGGCTACTGCGACGGCGACAAATAGCCCTGAGGGCGGGGGCGGGGCCTCTAGGGGCTCAGGGGACAGGGCCCGAGGGGCAGAGCCCCGCCCCCAGCCTGCGGAGCCGCATCCACGCGCGCCTCGAGCTCCTCCACGCCGCCTGCGCCCCGCGCCGCAAGGTGGCGCTTCTGCTGGCGGTGTGCGGTGACGTCTACGCGGGCCTGGCTCGGGGCGAGGACCAAGGTAAAGGAGGGGCCGGCGTCTACCTGGGTGTGGAGTGACTTGAGGGTTGCAGTGCCAGGTAGGAGGTGCCTATGCGCACGTCGAGGGAGAGAGTCGTATGCTCTAGGCGGAGGCGCCTATGCGGTGCTGGGGATTCGGGCAGAAGGGGTTTGTCGGACAAGGTGGAGGGGCACCCAGCTCTCGCGGTCCTGGGGAACGGATGGAAGGTGTCTGCGCGCCCCCATCCACCTCGGGACCTGTCCTCGGGCTTTCCCAGAGCCCCTGGGGGCCGACGCCTTCCTGCCGGCGCTGACCGAGGAACTGATCTGGAGCCCGGACATTGGGGAGACGCAGCTGGACGTGGAGTTTCTTATGGAGCTCTTGGATCCCGACGAACTACAGGGGGAAGGTGAACCTCAGTGTTTAGAATGCCGGGATCCAACAGGGGGCGCCCTCGGGCCGACCAAGCCCCAGTCAGCCTCCCCCTGCAGCAGGAGAGAAGGCAGGCAAATAGCAGGGGGACTTCAAGCGACCAGGGAAGCCCAGAAGGCCGCCCTGACCTCCCCTTCTTGTCCCCAGCTGGGTACTACCTGACCACGTGGTTTGGGGCGCTGTACCACATTGCCCACTACCAGCCTGAGGCGGGCCGGGCCCCTCGGAGGCTCAGCTCTGAGGCCCATGCCTCCCTGCGCCAGTGGCACCGCAGGCGGACGCTGCATGGACAGGCCTGTCCCGGAGCCCAGGTGACTGCCCTGGCTGCCCGTGCAGGGGAGGGTGGGACCTGTTGACCTTCTGACCAAGCCCTTTACCTCTCCCCACAGGCTGACCTGCCCTTTGAGGAGCCATGGGCGGTAGGGACTGTGCCAGAGATCGGTGATGATTAGGGGTCTCAGACCCCTCTGCTCCTCAAGCAAGATGCAGGAAGCCTCTGGTACAGCACCACTTCTGACCCATGTAGTTTAGGGTAGGGGCACAGGGAGGAGGGAATGGCCCACCTCTGGGCCTTTGCACTGGCCGTTCCTGCTTACTGGAATGCCCTTCCCTAAAATCCACTATGCTCCTTCCCTCCCCTCCTTCAGGTCTTTACGCGGATGTCACCTCAGTGAGGCTCTCCTAGACACCCTGTCTAAAACTGCAACTCCTTTCATGTGACTCTCCCTGTGGTAGGCAGAATAACACCACTGCCCCCAAGACGTCATGTTCTAATCCCCAGAATCTGTGAATATGTCACCTTCCTTGGTAAAAAGGACTTTACGGATATGATTACATCAACGGTCAGGATGAGAAGGTTATCCTGGACTTGGGTGGACCCTGTGTTATCACAGGGTCCTTATAAGAGGGAGGAAAGATCTTCAGTCAGAGAAAGAGAACTGATGATGAGTGGAGGTCACATCACATCGTGGCCAAGAGCCAACAAATGCATGCAACTTCCAGAAGCTGAAAAACAAAAGGAATGGATTTCCCCCTGGAACCCTCAAAAGGAACTCAGCCTGTGATTTTAGACTTCTAAGACCCATTTTGGACTTCTGGCCTCTAGATCTTTAAGATAATAAATGTGTGTGGGGGGTGGGGTTGTTTGTTTGTTTTGGTGATGTGTGTGTGTGTGTGTTTTTAAAGATGACGTGTGTGTGTGTTTTTAAAGATGACGTGTGTGTGTTTAAAGATGACCAGTAAGGGGATCTTAACCCTTGACTTGGTGTTATCAACACCACGCTCTCCCAAGTGAGCCACGGGCTGGCCCTGGTATGTTGTATTTTTTATTTTCATTTGCCTCTAGGAGTTCTTTTTACATTTTATTTTTCTTTCTTGACCCATTTCTTATTCAAAGATATGTCCTTGAATTCCCACAAATTTGTATAGATCCAGTATTCCTTCTGTTATTGATTTCTTGTTTTATTCTGCTGTAGTCAGAAAAGATGACTGATATAATCTCAATTTTTAAAAATTTGCTAAGACGTGCTTTTTGATCTAAAATATGGTTTGTTCTGGAGAATGTTTCAAGACTGCTGAGAAAAATGTGTATTCTCCAGCAGTCGGGTGAAATGCTGTAGATTGGCCCCAGTGTGTGTGTTTTTAACCACTAAGATTGTGGTAATTTGTTACAGCAGCAATAAAAAACTAATATACTCCTTTATCCTGTCTTTATCTCAATTTGGATTAACCACATTTCAAGTGCTCAGTAGCTACGTGGAGTTTGTATCTACCGTTTTGGAAGGTACAGCCTTAAAATGTCAGCTCCAGGAGACTGGGGATCTCTATTCTGTTTATAGCTGTATCCTCAGTTCTTATACAAATGCCTGGCACACAGCAGATTTTCAATAAATCCTTGCTGAATGGATCAGTGAACAAGGTTTCTGTGGTAGACCAACAAATGGCTCCCCCCAAAATATCCATGTCCTAATCCCTGGAATCCATGAATATTACCTTATTTGGAGAAAGGGTCATTGCAGATGTTAAGTTAAGGATTTTTAAGTCGGGAGATCATCCAGGTGGGCTCCAAATGCAATCACATGTATCTTTACAAGAGAGAGGGGGAGTGAGATTTGATACAAACAGGAGAAGGCAATATAAAGATGGAGAAAAGAGAGATTTGAAGATGCTGGCCTTGAAGACTGGAGTGATGCAGCCACAAGCCAAGGGATGCCAGCGGTCACCAGAAGCTGGAAGAGTCAAGGAACAGATTCTCCCCTAGAGCCTCCAGAGAGAGTGTGGCCCTGCCAACACCTCAATTTATGACTGTGAAACTGATTTTAGACCTGTAGACTCCAGAACTGTGAAAGAACAAATTTCTATTGTTTTAAGCCACCAAATCTGTGGTCATTTGTTATAGCACCAAGGAAACTAATGCAGTTTCTCAGCTCTGTCCATAGAAGACAAAAATAGGAGTCAAATTAATGCCCAACTTGGTCTCAATGTAGCAACAACGGACATTCACCCACAGATATTGGAATTAATTAGAAAAATTGGAAAAGCCCTCTCAACCCATCTCACCAAGAGATGCATTGCCACTAAAATTTTACATTTTACACTTTATAATAATCCAAATTCTGTAATGTCAGATGCCAACAAAAATATGTGCCAGGGAATAGAATTTTACACAATTGTTTTTGAAAGCCAAAAAGTTTGAGGACAGCTGTGCTGGGCAGCAAAGCAGGAAGCAGGTACTGGGCGGGCTGCAGGATGTGGCCTCTGATCTTATGTTTGAACAGAACTGAGGGGCAGCCAGACCCCAGGAGACCAGAGAATCCATCTCCTCCTTCTGGGGTGAGCAGGGTTCCAAGAGTTTCATTGTGTTTCTTTATTGATGTGTTTATGTATGCACGTATGTATGTATTTTTTATTTAAATTGTGGTAAAAAGTAGGGCCGAGCCCGTGGCGCACTCGGGAGAGTGCGGCACTGGGAGCGCAGCAGAGCTCCTGCCGCGGGTTCGGATCCTATATAGGGATGGCCGGTGCGCTCACTGGCTGAGTGCGGTCCGGCCGGTCTCAAAAAAAAGAAAAAAAAAAAAAAAAAAAAAAAAATTGTGGTAAAAGGTAAAATAAAATTTACCATCTTAACCATTTTTTGATTGATTTTATTTATTTATTTGTTAGTTTTCACTTATTTAGGCAGCTGGCCAGCACAGGGATCTGAACCCTTGACCTTGGTGTTATCAGCACCATGCTCTACCCAGTGAACGAACTGGCCAGCCCTATTTATTTTTAATTAGGTTAAAGATACATATAGGGCTGGCCAGTTAGCCCAATGGGTTAGAGCGTGATGCCGATAACACCAAGGTCAAGGGTTCAAATCCCCCTACCCACCAGCTGTCAAAAAAAAAAATCACTCATGTAAATTTTATACTCAACTATTTTTAAGTGTACAGTTCAGTAGTGTTAACGATATTTACATTGTTGTGTAACATCTCTCTTGAACTTTTTCATCTTGCAAAACTGCAACTATACCCATCCAGCACAATTCCCTGTTTTCCCCTCCCCTCAGCCCCTGGAAACCACCATTATTCTACTTTCTTTCCATGATTTTGACTACTCTAGATATCTCACGTAAATAGAATCATACAGTATTTATCCTTTTGTCAATGGTTGATTTCACTCAGCACAATGTCCTCCAGGTTTATGTCGCATGTTGCAGCATGTGACAAGTTTCCCTTCTTAAGACTGAATAACCTTCTACTGCATGTGTATACATTTTTTCTATCCATTCATCCATTGATGGACCTGTAGGTTGCTTCCACGTCTTGACTATTGTGAATAATGGTGCAATGAACATGGGTGTGCAAACATCTGTTCAAGTCTCTGCTTTGAACTTTTTTAGATATATACCAGATGTGGGTCATATGGCAACTCTGTGTTTAATTTTTCGAGGAACTACTGTACTGTTTTCCAAAGCAGCTGCACTGTTTTTCATTCCTACCAACAGGCACAAGAGTTCCAATTTCTTCAAATCTTCACCAGCATTTATTATTTTCTGTTGTTTTGTTTAGTTTTTTTATAGTGGCCATCCTTTTTTTTTTTGTCTTTTTTCATGACCGGCAACGGATCGTAACCCTCAGTGTCGCGCCCGTACCGGACCAGGACCGGCCACGGGATCGCAACCCTCGGCGTTGCTCCCGCCCCTCGCTCAGCCAGCGAGCGGCCGGTCTGTACGTGGGATCCGAACCCTCGGCGGGAGCGCCACTGCCCTTCCCAAGCGGCGCACTACAGCAGTGCGCCACCGGGCCGGCCCTATAGTGGCCATCCTGATTGGTGCAAGGTAATATCTCATTGTAGTTTTCATTTGCATTTCCCTAATGAATAGTGATGTTGAGCATCTTTTCATGTGATTATTGACCATTGTATTAGTCTCTGTTGCTTATAACAAAATACCTGAAACTGGGTAATTTATAAAGAAATAAAATTTATTTCTTACAGTTCAGAGGTTGGGAAGTCCACAATCCAGGGAACACATCTGGTAAAGCCTCCTTGTGGGTAGTGACTCTGCAGCAACGAGGGTTTCACTTGGCGAAGAGCTTAGCAAGAGAGCTACCCTCCTCACCGGCTCTCCTCTTAGAACCACGCCTGTGACCAACCATTAAACTATCAGTGGACCAATCCGTTCACAAGTGTACAGCCCTCACAATCTAATCACCTCTTAAAAGGCTCCATCTTTCAATTACCACAATTGGATTTCCCACTGTCTTAATACTGTTGCAATGAAGATTGCTTCCAGTCATGATCCTTTGTCAGACACTTTCAACCCATAGCAGCATCTTTGTACAGATGTCTATTCAAGTCCTTTGCTGGTTTTTTTGTTTTGTTTTTTTGTTTTTGTTTTTTTGTTTGTTTGTTTGTTTTTCAGCTAGCCAGTACAGGGATCAAACCCTGGACCTTGGTGCTATCAGCACCACACTCTCCCTAGTGAGCCACAGGCCGGCCCTCTTTGCCCATTTTTTAATCAGGTTGTTTTTTTGTTGCTGAGTATTAGGATTTCTTTCTGTATTCTGGATGTTAACCCTCTATCAAATTTATAATGCACAAATATCTTCTCCCATCCTGTGGATTGCCTTTTTGTTCTGTTAATTGAGTCCTTTGATGCACAGATGTTTTTAAGTTTGATGATGTCCAGTTTATCTATTTTTGCTTTTGTTCTCTGTGCTTTTGGTGTCATGTCCAAGGAATCATTGCTAAATCCAGTGTCATAAAGCTTTTCCACCTATGTTTTTTTCTAGGAGTTTACAGTTTTAGGTTGTATGTATTTTTAACATTATTTCAGTCATGTTATCTGATATGTGTTTTTGATATTATGATATATTTACAAGGGGTCTTCAAAAAGTTCATGGAAGGGGCCGGCCCGGTGGCGCACTGGAGAGTGCGCCGCTTGGGAGCGCGGCGGCGCTCCCTCCGAGGGTTCGGATCCCATGTGGAGACCGGGTCCCGCTCACTGGCTGAGCGTGGTGCGGGCGCAATACCGAGGGTTGCAATCCCGTTACCGGTCAGTAAAAAAGACAAAAAGGAAAAAAAAAAAAGTTCATGGAAGGCTGGCTAGTTAGCTCAGTTGGTTAGGTTAGAGTGTGGTGCTGATAACACCAAGGTCCAGTGTTCAATCCCTATACTGGCCAGCTGCCAAAAAAAAAAAAAAAAAGTTCATGGAAAGATTCATATTATCAGGCCGGCCCGTGGCTCACTTGGTAGAGTGTGGTGCTGATAACACCAAGGCCACAGGTTCGGATCCTATATAGGGATGGCCGGGTTGCTCACTGGCTGAGTGTGGTGCTGACAACACCAAGCCAAGGGTTGAGATCCCCTTACCGGTCATCTTTTAAAAGAAAAAACAGATTCATATTATCTTTTAATTCTATTTTTCAATGAGCTTTTTGAAGTACCCATATATATTGGTTTTCATCCATGGTTCCTGGCTCCCCAAGGCAGAGCTCTAATCTTCCCCTGCCTTTATGTCTTTAGAGCTGGACATAAAGAAATTCTCTGACCTACCTTATCTGATTGTAGGTCATAAGACCCCCATTCCAGAAAGAGTCCTGCTCCATTCCTGGGAGGAAGTAATGCTGCAAAGAGGCCAAGAAGAATCTGAACA